CTGTTGGCTACTGGGGAACTATGCCCTCCACCTCGCCAAGGACTTCTGGTTCTCCAGTCTCTGGCGCAGCACCAACAGCCGGCACTACGGGGCCCACCTGTAGGTGCCAGGCATCATTCTAAGCACTTTAGATATGGCATCTTGGTTACTGTTCTCCCAATCCTCTGGGGCAGGGGCTATTACTGCCCTTTTTCACAAATGGGTAAACTGAGGCTTGGAGTGGTTAGGTGACTTGCTTAAGGTCCCTGACTTGTAAGTGGCGAAGATGGGATTTGAACCCTAACATTCTGACCTCCACACCTACACGATTAACCACTGCACCATACTGGCCCTGCCATGGGGCTGCCCTGCGGAATTTGGAGACAGCTACCCTGTTCTCCAGAACCTTCACCAGGACTTCGAGACAGGGCTGAGCTTCCTGTGGCCATTCCTCTGGTAGCCTCCTGCTGACACCCTGGCAGCTTCTGGTACCCGCCCAACTTTTTATCTTATTTTTAAAATCACATGCATAATCCATACATTCATACATTGCAAGTTTTTAAATATTGTCTTTTTGTTCTCAATAAAATTCTTTTTTCACTTTTATTGAGTAAATCGAAAGATGGGTGCTGGATTTTTGGTATACAATGCATTTTCCCCCAAAGCTAATTATTAAGGTTAAAACAAATAAACGGCAACAACGTCAGCAAACAAAACAAAAGAAAACCATTGAGCAAATGGCTCCCAAATGTCCAGTATTTAATAAACAGGCCACATATACGTGGACCAAATGACCTCTGGTCAGAGATGAACAGCACACTTCCCCCGCCCGCCCCCACCCCAGCCCCTTGCTGATTGACAATGGTCTGTCTACCTGTCACCCAGGTATTCATGCAGACACGTGCATACTTTGTGCAAATCCACTTACAGACCAGACAAAAATACAAGCTGAGTAAGAAGGTAATAATAACTACCCCCCCACCCCGCAGTCCAGGGCCTAAAAGAAGGGTGAGTGCGAGGAAAGGAGGACCGGGAGAGAAGGGATCCAGGAAAGACGTGTCACCTCTGGCCAGGCCGGCGGCCCAGGGACCACATTCTGACCCATCCTTTCCCCAGTTGGAACAGACTCAGGAGGCAGACAGGTGGGGCACCCGGGCCAGCTCAGGGCCACCCAGAGATGCCGCTCTGGAACCTGGCTCCCTGGGACCAGCTTAGGGGTCATGCCCAGTTCTCCGGGGCCAGGGAAAGACCTGGGTTTCACTCAGCCTTGTGAGGAGTGGGGCGGCTAACGCCTCCGGATCGGTAACAGCCCTCGCAGGTGCAGAGGGAGTGGGGGCCGGCAGGGAGGGGCTCGTCAGCAACAG